CGACGAGAGGATGGCCTAGTCGTTCCAGCCACCGAAGCGGCTGCTTTTGTACGAATTTTGAGTGACGGGTTAATCTTCTTTAATCTTGTAGGGGGACAATAGCGACTTCTGCGACACACAAAAGGCATTCTCGGGAAGAGGGGAGTTCCTCCTGTCCCTCTTCTCTCGTCGTGGACAGAGGCGAGACAACCTCCGTCACTAGCTGTCAAGGTTCCTAGAGGGGCATTAAAAGCGAGGCGTTAGCGACATCCACCAGGTGCTCTTTGCTAATCGTTTAATTCGTTTTAAAATTCCTTTTCGTGACTTTTTTAACAAGATATTGGTATGTTCGATGTGATGCTACTCCTTTGAACACATATAGACCAAAAAATGAGCGCCGCAATTTCGTTGTAGGATCCCTTTAAGCCTTTGAAGTGAGCAAGCCAGAAGACAAGAAAGGACGCTCGTGCGCTCTGCGCGGTTCTCGGCGGCAGGTGTCGAGATTCGGTGTTATCTGTGTGACGTCACTTCCGTGACCACGTTTTCGTGACGTCAACCTTCTAAATTTGAACCCCCTTCCAAGCGCGGAGAAAGACGTAGTTGTACAACAAAAACGATTAGGCGAAAAATGGCTGAAATGTCACCACTCAGCAAAAGCGTCTGTGTGTATGGAGCAGACAGCACACATTACCCAAAATAAGAGTAACTAAATACAGTTACTCGTTACTCGCTCAAAAAGTAACTAAGCACGTTACTCGTTACTTATTCACAAAAGGAACGCGCTACTTTACCTTGAAAGTAGCGAGTCACTTTTCTCGTCAGCTTGACGATCAAATCCACAACTGCTTTTGTTTCATGGTCTATTGTTGTCTTTTCAGTAGACGTTGAACTTAACGAGTAACTGCGTCTTTATTCTTTTCTTCTTTATTCAGAAATTACACCGCAGTGCCCTAAAGCGTTACAGCAGCTGAAAAAAAAAAAAAAAACATTTTCATTTTTACTGCGCACTTGCAGCTCCGACAGCCCATTCCACTCTCGTATCGTTTTAACAAAACAAAAAAGAGTTGGCGTACATGCTCGTCCTGGCGTGGTACTCTCTAATTTTGAAAGCATGATCGTTCAGTTTATCAATATAATATGGTTATTTTAATTAAGTTTCAATGTTAATTCCAGCTTTATTTTTAAATATCAAGAATGGAAACTTTAAACACATTTTTTTACGGCGGGCTGAGAGAGGTTCCCAATTCAGTTCAGTCTTCATTTGAGTACAGCTGTCTCTCCGCCCGTACCGTTCCAGAATGAACCTAGCAGCTCTATTTTGTATTTTTTCAAGTTTGTCTATTAATGTTTTTTTTTTCCGGGTCCCAGACGGCACAGGCATATTCCAAAATCGGTCTAACACATATTAAGTACGCGGTTTCCTTTAAGTTAGGGAGTAAACATTTTAGGCTTTGTTGAATAAAGTTCAGTGTCGCTTTACAATCACGTCATCCACATGTGAATTCCACGAACAGTCAGTTGGTATCGTGACACCTAAGTATTTATACTTAGAGTCCTTGTTTACCGTATTGTAATTTATATAATACTGGGCTTCAATTTTCTTCTTTTTATAGTAAAACATAAGTGCACACACCTTTTGGGATTTAAAGTCATTTTCCATGTAGAGCACCACGTAGTAACGGATTCTAAATCCATTTGCAACTGGGTGGCATCATCTTTGTTATTAATTTTTCTGTACACCACGCAATCATCAGCAAACAACCGAACACAAGATGAAATAGCCAAGGAAATGTCATTGATATATATTAAAAACAGGAGCGGCCCTAAGACAGAGAAAAGAGCCCTGTGGGACTCCCGACGTTACATTAACGTGTGCCGAACTTTTAGCATTCACTAAAGCACACTGACAAAGCTCTAGCAAATAATTTTTTTCCATCTTAGTACCGCGAAGTCTATATTTAATATCTTAAGTCTATTCAGCAGAAGGGAATGCGAAACGCTATCGAAAGCCTCGCGAAAATCTAGGAATATACATTCCTTTTGGCCTCCCTCATCAAGATCAGATGACAAGTCATGATAGAATTCGACAAGCTGCGTGGTGCAAGATAAGCGTTTACGGAAGTCGTGCTGTTCTTGAGAAAATAGATTGTTTTTTGTCATGATTTATTATTTCAGTGTATAAAATATGTTCTATGACCTTGCATGAGATGGGGGTTAACGAAATAGGCCTGTAGTTTTCGACATCTTTCCTAGAACCTCCTTTGTGAATAGAAACTATGTGAGGCGGTCTTCGAGTCGTTTCGCAACAGACGCACAGATAGCGACTTCATAAATTAAATAAAGAAAGAGTGAAATCGGATGAGCACAGCGCTTAAGCACACGAGGAGAGATGCGATCTGGGCCATTTCGTCGATACTCTCTAGTAACACTTCGACACCACCCACGCTTAGTTCGACTGGCTGCATTATTGGGACAGTGCTGACGGGTGAAAAACAATGACAGTTATATTTGGGTAAGAAAACAGATTGAAAGTAATTATTTAGACACGAAGCTTTTTCTGCATCATCTACAATTACCTGCTGGTTATAGGTAATTTCGTTAATTCCTGCAAAATTGGTGCCGCATCCCTTTAAGTATTGCCAAAACATTTTAGAATTTGTTTTCATCCTATCATTTAGTCTACAAAAATAATTTTCGTTACCACTTTTTATATTCAACTTGTATTCCCGAGTTACCTCAGCAAGTTTCACTAAGTGATTGTTACTTTTGGTTTTTGGTTTTTAAATCTAACAAATGCTCGCCTGCGTTTTTTTAATCATTCCAAGGACACGTGAAGTTTTCTCTAAGTTTTCATCAGTTATGTTTCCCCGCATCCTTGAGAATGCATTTCCAGCGACGCTGAAGAGTCGTTTACTGACGCGCTCGGAGGAACGGCAGTGTTGTGCTTCAGGAAGAGATGGTGAATCTGGGATTCCCCTCTCTAAAGGTTTCGTTATCTCTGGTTTTAAAATTTCAAGTTGACAATAAGTTCTTTTCCTTCCCGTGTTGGCAACCTCCGGCTTTGCATTCGGTATGTGCCCGGTTCTGAAAGGTTCGATCAACGAACCTTATTGTGTTCTCTGGGTGAAGGACATTCCCAGCTGTAGGGTTTGACCGACGCGTTCAGCGATTAGCGTAGTTATTCCGTCATACTGTTTTTTCGGGTTGCCCGTCCGCCTTTGTCGCAATAGACGCTTACTCAAGTTATAGAATTTAAACGAGGCTGTTCAAACGTTGTTGTACGCGTTACTCCTCAAAAGTAACGAAATACCGTTACTCGTTGCTTGGCCCTAAACGTAACTAAGAACGTTCCTCGTTTGTTTCCTATGAAACACTAAATACGTTACTCGTTACCGAAAAAGGTACCCAGGTAGAAGTAACTCGTGACTAGTAACGACTGTCGAACAAGTCTGGTATGAAGGCACTTAGTAGCCACAGACAAAGTGAGGACAGCAGGGAGAAGCTTTAGTTGTCCTGCCTCCAGCGCGAGCTCCTACCTTCGAAAGCCCATCGGCGTACACTGTGCCTCGCGCGTGCGTGCGCACCCAATTAGAAAGTATGCGCAATGTTATACTCGTTTTCACATAAAAAAAAAAGTAATTCTTACACATTGTTCATGCGCCGCGTAAAGTAGTTCTTACAAGATTTGTTTCTCGGACAAAAATGCTTTTGGCGTTTGAAGTGTGTACCTGAAGATAAGATAACAGATATCTAATCTAAAATAGACCTACGTATATTTTAATTCTCTACATAAAGGGGGAAATTAGTAATGCTCCGCGAGGAACCAAACCTGTTTTATTACGGTTCTTGGGGTGAAAACGTGTATGGCAGCCTTTGTCTCTACTGACTCTTCGAACGACGGCGTCCGGATCTCGCCGTTCGTGTTCGGAAGTGTTCCGACAGTGAAACTTGGCCGCCGTCGCTCATAGATCGCGGCAACCTTTCCAGCCTCGGCAACCAGACAACTGGTTGCTGCCGTCGTTCATAGATGCCGGCAACATTTCTTCGGAGGAAGACGAGCGGGAACGGAACGAGCGGCGATGTGCGCAGCAGCGCAAATGGTTCCGCAACCGCCGCGAGGCCGCTGTCGGTCAGATTCCCTCGCGAAAGAAGGGCCGATCGCTTGCCTGGAAAGCCACCGCCGAGACTAGAAGCTACAGCTCTGCTGCTCTTCCTTCTTCACCAGAGTGGAAAGGCTAAAAGTTTTTTTTTTTCTTTCTTTATTTTCTTTTTTTACATGTCACTATTTACAAAATATGTGTTTGTAAAATTGGTTGCCAAGAAAGTTCTTCAATGCGTTTGTCTGTTTAAAAAACTAAAAGCGGCTCTTGGCTCATCCCTTTATGCATTACATTTGCGTGTGCTCATTAACGATGTTTTATCTTAACCAAATTACCATTGGAACAAGCAGAAGTAATCAAAGAACACTTAGTGATACTTTAGAGCTTATACCCACTTTATACCTTAAAACTCGACCATTTAACGGGTTAAAATATGACCGACATTTATATCATAAATCCTAAAATGGAAATGTTAATTGATCGATAGACCCTTTCCAAATGTCCATCAAGCAACACTGGTGGTCGCCCTTTCTCGGCCATGAAGCGCATGATCGGATCCGAGTCCTCGCCGAAGACTGACGCAGCTCTCGTGTTCAATACTGCCAAGATCGGTTATAACGAAGCCGGATATAACGAAATAGCGGCTACAGCGAAACCAACACGATTTCTCATTCCCTTTTGCACTTCGTTATAACCGAAATCGGTTATAACGAAATTGCGGATATAGCGAAGGGATTTTCGATTTCCGTTGACTTCGTTATAACCGGTCTCGACAGTATATGCTTTCAGTGCGTGCCCAAGCAATGGCAGACAGGCATAATGGCGTGCCCCTTTGAAAGGGATTAGTTGCCCAGCCCTAATCGCTCCATAGATGTCGGTTTCTTATTTGTAGTGTTTGTTTGTTCGCTTGCTTTACCGCAGGTCGAGATGGTTAAAAAGAAGCACAACCTGGGCATTGCCGTGATGCACATTGAGCTGGACGACAAGAACGACTGCAGCAACCAGCGGAGGCCCTACCTCTTGAGCGCCGTTCACGGCGCCCTTCACTCCACGGCCTGACGAGTCCCCATGTTCCCCGCATTGCATTTTCATTGATTCACGCTATGTTCGAACGCATAGCATGTGCTACGCTAGTAAGAAAGAAAAAAAAATATCTATATAGTTGGGTCGTTTTCATTCTATAACGAAAAATAAAATGCATTGTTGTGAAATTTGTATAAATATCAGACGCCATGTATTATAGGGTGTACGCAATGGATACTGGCGCTGTAAAACGAGCCGGAAAACTTGGCACCTGCAAACAAAGGAGGCTCAAAGTTTCACCGAATGTGCATTTCGGTGGTGGATTTTACCGGGTGAAATTTCAAAGCGAAACTGTACCTTCCTGTAAAAAAAAATGAACCCAATAGACTTGCCAGATGCGGCTATGTTTGTAAACGCAAAGGTAGAAAAGTTTTCTCCTGAGTGACATTGAATAAAATTTAAAACACGGCTGTATAGCTATGACCGTTTTTCAAGTGGACACCCGTGCTTTCGCACAAAGTGTGGCAACAAAGAGCACCGTGTAGTGGCTCGCATTCATAGAGACGCTTCTATAGCTTGGCACGTGGTATACAAAGCACGGATCGGTCACCCGCGATCGTAACAGCCCTAATCAAACGGCTATCGGTATGGAAATCTTTTATCTGGGGCATATCTGGCCGTATCAAACATTATGTGATTATATATGGCATATATATAGCCTTATTTGGCGTATATACAGCATTATTTGGCGTTTATACAGCCTTAGCTGGCGAATATAAAGCCCTAGCTGGAATATATACAGCCTTATCTAGCGTTTATAAGACTTATCTGGCATATATACAGCCTTATTTCAGGTATATACTTCGTTATCTGGCGTATATACAGCTTTATCTGGCGGCCGGTTTTCAATATATAACAAAGTTTTAAAAAAAAAGTAAAACAAAAATTGCTTCGTTAGCAAACTGTGAATGACTTACTGTTTGCGAGCTAAATATTAGCAAAAATAATCCCAAACTTCAGCTTTGGCAAGCTTAAGTTGGGATTATTTGTGCTAATTTTCTCGAGGATTTCAATGTAGCTTAATTATTTCAAAGTGTTAACATTATGCCCGAATAGACAATTTGCTAAATACTCAAGCGCCTCGGCCCGTACTCGAGAAATCATGGGGACGGTGTTTCTTCAGCTGCCTAGTGATCGGAAATTTTGGGCCAATTTATGGTTACACAGTTTTGAGTGTAATTCGGAGTCACCCTGCCCAAGTGTCGTATAGAACCGAAGTACCTGTCATATCACTTTTAAAATTTCTCACCAATGTCAGTACTGTGCATTCTGTCCAACCTTAAACCTGGATGAGCTGCAGACAGCTTACATTATTATCATTCTCGTACAGCTTCAAAGACGCTGATATTAAGTTAGAAACGCTAAAAATGCTATAAACAGCTCCACTGAATCCGAGCTAAATCCCGGTTTTGGTTGTGATTTCTCGGCTTTTAAGTGATTCCTGCTAAAGCAACAATCATGAGGATGATAATATTGTAAGAGATTTCTGCGGCTCAGCCAGGTTGAAGGGCGGATCACATGCGCAGTATCATAAACGCTGCCATTGACGAGAAATTTTAAAAGTGATATGACAGGTCCTTGAGCCTTATGCGACGGTTGTTCAGGGTGACTACAAATTTCGCTCGAAACTGCGTAACCATGGAATCGGTCAAAATTGGCGATCACCAAAGAGCTGAAGGATCAACGTTCCCATAATTCCTCGAGCGTGGGCCGGGGTCCTTGGGAGAATTGTAGACAATAAAAATATATACAGTGCGGATTTCAGGCTTGTGTCCTTTTGATATGCCTGGCCAGATCTGGAGTTTCCATATTTAGCCAGATTTGGGATTTCCATACCTGGCCAGGGATATCAGACTATGTCTGGCATTCTGGGGCTATATCTTGCAGATATACAGCTTTCCAAAAAACGCTCCTAGGCCGCCGCCATGTTGCTGATGCTGATGCGGCTGGTGCGACTCTCGCGCCCTCTATCAGCGAGAAATTTTCTGCCACTCTCTGGGACTGTGAAGAGCCGCTCAGCGCGGTTCTCTACCTACGTTTTTGCGGTTTTGCATTCGACGTTTTCTCGCCCCTCTTGAAAGTTTCCACTTAACTTTATTTATGCGTGCTGCGTACCCTTTTTGTGTTGTATTCCATTATGAGAAATAAGGCTGGTAAGTGCCTGCCATTCAAGCTTTTCTGCCCGACATTCACGGGAAACAAAGTAGGTGAAGGACGTCGAACGACCCCCGGAGCGATTTTGCGAACATTGTTCTCCCCCCTCGTAGAGATAATCCGCGTAGAATCCTCAGTCATCTCCAAAAGTAGTTGTCCGGGGTGGGGTGAGAAACGGGTCAGTTGCGTTTGTTTCTTTGCCTTGGTGCGGTTGTGAAAAAAGGAAGCTCTCCCCAAAACGTGCCCCAAAACGAAGTCATCTCGGATTCCGTCCGATCGTCAAGGTGTGACTGTCGTCGACTGTTACTGTGTTATTTGAGATCTTTCTCAAATAAATTATTTTCGGATAACGCTCATTCATGTGGTATGTACGATATATTGTTCGAATGTTAACGCTTCCTCGATTGTATGTCCGCGTCCTGTCCATCGGTAAACACGTTATTTGTGAGCGTGAAAAATGCATGACTTTCGGCCCTCTTCTGTTGCAATTTATTTTTGAGAGCAAAGCGCTTTGTCGTTTCACATGCGGCGAATCCCGCGGCGCCGTCAAAACGTTTTCGTAAGAAAAAAAAACATAACTAGAACTATATATTCCAGTCGCATTCGTTCTGTCGCGCGCGTACCCAACAAAAATAGTTTACAGCTTTTTTTTTTTTTTGCTTTTTTTTATTTTTTAAATGTGGCATAATGCTTCCTCACTGTCCTCGGGAAAATACATGTACCATGAAACACAAAATACAGCGGGAAAGTACGAGAATTTAGCCGCCAGCAGCGTTTGAAACAGCGCCTACGCAGGCTGCGCCTTTTGAAATCACAGTCCACTGGGTTAGGGTTAGGAGCAGTGGCGTAGCAGAGGGGGGGTTTGGGGGATTGAAACCCCTCCCGAAATGCCAAAGCTACCCCCCCCCCCCCCCCCTTCCCTCCCCAACGGGGCCCGCTCGCTGCCCTGCTCACGCAGTCGGGTTTGCATGAGGCACGGAGCAACGGGGGAGCACGGACCATCTCCAACTTACAGGCTTTCGCGAGAATTGTTTTGTGGGGTGGAAAATGCTCAAATTAATAAAATATGCAATATTGCTTAATTCATGTTAATTCGATGGGATGCGGAACTTGATTTCAGATATATAGACAGCGGATATTTCGAAACATTTGTGGGGTGAACGATGGAAATTTCAACGGAAAATATGACAAAATATCCTCATTGAAATACACAGTTCAATCAAACCAATGTGAACATAATAAAACGAACACACGGTGATAATATAAAACAATGTCAGTAATGTAAGGAATAAATTAATTGTAAAAAAAACAATCGCATTGTAAGCAATGGGTGGCGCTGCGCTCACGCACACCTTTTGTGATCAGAATTACGTGCTTTCGACTAGAAATTACCGCGAATAAATAGGTAACTGTGACTAGTGATATTAGAATGCAATTGACAGGTTCTCTTTATCATATCATTTATGCCAAGCGCCTACAGATTGAAATGAAGCCGCCTGCGTTCACGGAAAAAAATATCCCGGGCGTCCTCCGCTTGAACTTTAATGTCGCGGTGAACATTCAAAAACGCTATACTTCGTTTCAGCTTAGGTCCAGACGTAGCCGATGCTACAAGTGCCAGCTCCGGGCATTCAGCGTCCCTGCCAAGCACGCGCGCTCGTGCAGTGCAAGCACTGTTCTGGGCCACAGGTTCATGCCTGCAGCATCGGCTGCCTCTGGAATTAAGCTGAAACAAAGCATAGACCGAGCAGTCGCTCACTCGAAGTGGACGCTCTCAGGTATGTTTTCAACCGTCGTAGTGAAGAGAACGAGAGCTCAGCTTCCGCCGTTGTTAAGGGCAGAGCAACTAGAGTCTTGAGGAGAGGATGGACGTTTGGGAATAGGGCCTCCGGACAGAGGGCGACCACCTGTATACCGCAGATATGACGGGCGCTTCACGTTTCTCCCTCTTGCATTGGACGCCTAAAATTTCCCTATTTTTGGCGAAGTTTCCCTCACTTTGCGAAAATCGTCGCTCACGGATGCGATGAAGTCCGTCTTGCTTTCTGCTTTGTATGTCAAGGTTACATGCGATGCAATTCCTTATTACTTTTAGCTTAATCTCTTCGTTGCACGGAACATAAGAAACTTGAAGAGACAAGCCTTCATATTCTCACTACGCACAGGCGCAAGGCTAGTCAAGTTCCTTTCCACGTTCGGCGTGTAGTTTCTTTGTGGTGCGTCATATCATTTCTCCGAGTGACGGAACGACGAGTTCGGACTGATGACTTCTTACCCCGAGGATATGCTGCTACCGCCTTTGGATCACGCTGCAAGATAAAACGGCCTAGCAAAGATAACACTCTCTTTCCTTCGGCATCTTGTTCTGTAGCACGAGTTTGTTAAACCTTTAATAGATAATAGATTTTGGTTGAGTGATTGCTCAGAATTACCTTCGCCCTACATATGGGCCCCTGGTGTTTGTGCGTGGCCGGTTGCTCCAAGTTTTCATTGTCGAAAAAATATTTGTTTTGCTGTCTAATTTTCTTTTTTCTTTTTTGTGAAAGTATGGCTATTTTTTGTTTTCTCTGGCCTTCACGCGTTGGTATTGCGGTGCTACTTCGAAAAGCGAAGGGAGTTTTGTGTTGTGAAAAAGCGTTTAAAGTTGGTGGGCCGCAATCACGACGACAATAGAACGGTGAGCCACCCCGCCAGTATTCCTGTAAATGAAGGCTGCTCCGTTTTTAAAAATGACAAGGCAGCGTTACCCGTTTTATCTCAACAGCGTCTCCCTAAGTTTTGCCTGAGCGTCCGTGTCGGCGAGCTCACCCTCCGTCATTGACGGGGGGGGGGGGGGGGATATGCCGTTGAACCCCTCCCGAAATAAAATCCTGGCTACGCCACTGGTTAGGAGGGACGCCGGTGAGAGTCTAGCCTCAAACTCAGTGACTGTGCTCGAAAACGGTTTGTTGCCCCTGGGGTCGAGTGTTTTTTGGAAAGGTGTATACCATATCAGGTTATATCTAGCC